TCCTGGAACTCAACTTTGTAGTCCAGGGTGACCTCAAACCCATGACAGTCCTCAGCCTCCAAGGATCCAAAGCATGAGCCTAAATCTTTTTTATTTTTAAGTGTGTGTGTGTGTGTGTGTGTGTGTGTGTGTGTGTGTGTGTGTGTGTTGGTAGTGGTGGTGACTAACTTTAATGTCTTACATGTTAGACCGTCACTTTGCCATTGAGCTATATCCCCAGTCCTCTTTTTACATTTTTTTTTTTCTTCAATTTTAAGAGGGCCCTACTGTGGCAGGGCATAGATGACACACGCCTTTAATCCCAGCACTCTGGAAGCAGAGGCAGGCAATCTGTATGAGTTTGAGTCTAGCTTGGTCTACATAGTGAGTTCCAGAACAGCCAATACTACACAGTGAGATTTACCAGCATTCCAAAACCCTCCCCAAAATTAAATAAAAAAAAAAAAGACAAATAAAAAAATAATGCTGGGTATGGTGCTGCAAACTGGTAACCCCAGTATTTGGGAGGTAGAAACAGGAGGGTCAGGAGTTCAAGGATAGCCTTGTCTTTATAGAAAGTTTTAGACCAGCTTAGGCTACATGAGACTGTTTCAAAAACAAAAAAAGTCCAGGCGGTAGTGGCACACGCCTTTTATCCCAGCCTTCTGAGTTCGAGGCCAGCTTGGTCTAGAAAGCGAGTTCCAGGACAGCCAAGGCTACACAGAGAAACCTTATCTCAAAAAACCAAAACCACCACAACAACACGAATAAAATAAATAGAAAAAAAAAAAACCCAAGTCCATAAATACATAAAAGTGGAGCAGGTGTGCTGGTGAGCCTTTTGTCAACTCCACACAGGCTAGAGTCATCTGGGGAGAAGAACTTGAATCGAGAAAATGCCTCCATCAGACTGGGAGCAAGTCTGTTGATGATTGATAAGGGAAAGTCTAGGCCACTGTGGGCAGTGCCACCCCTGGGCTGGTGGTCCTGAGCTGAGCAAGCTCTGGGAGCAAGCCAGTAAGCAGCATCCTTCCTTGGGCTCTGCTTCAGTTTCTGACTCCAGGCTCTGCCTCGACTTCCCTTCATGATGGACTGTGAGGTGTGTAAAATGAAATAAACCCCTCTTTCCTCCTCAAGTGGCTTCTGGTCATGGCGTTTATCACAGGGACAGAGCAGACTGGGAAAGCCACTGCTCCTGGCTTAAGTGTGCACACACACATCATACATACACACAATAACAATAATAAATAATTATAATAAATAATGTTATAATAAATATTTATAAAAATTTTTATAAATTTATATATATTATAAATTTATATATTTATAAAAATTATAAAAATAAATAAATAATAGAAATAAATTAAAATAAGCAGGGCCTGGAGAGATGGCTTAGCAATTAAGAGCACTTGCTGCTCTTGCAGAGGACTGGAGTTGGGTTTCCAGGAGGTTCTGATGCTCTCTCCTGGCCTCCATAGGTACCTGTACACATCTACAATACATGGACACACACACACACACACACACACACACACACACACACACACTACAATCAGTCTTTAAAATAAGTGCCAACTGGTGGTACACATGCCTTTAACCTCAGTACAGGGTGAGTTAGAAGCAGGCAGATCCCTGTGAATTTGAGGCCAGCCTGGTCTATAGAGTGAGTTCCAGAACAGCCAAAGCTACACAGAGAAACCTGTCTCAAAAAACAAACAAACAAACAAACAAATACAAATACAAATAAATAAACAGAACAGCTAGAAGGGTTCTTTCTACTTTAAAGTCTGAACCATAAAATTCAAGGGCCAAGGGAGGCATCTGCCTCATTTCAGAGACATCTGCCAAGCCTGTGAAAAGGGAAAAAGGGGGATAAAGGGAAGCACTTATTTTCTTTTATATTTTTAGGCTTTTGAATTGGTCCTTGAAGGAAGCATCTCAACCTAAAAGCATTTCTGAAGGTATTTTTTGTTGTTGTCATTTGCTGTTGAGAACAGTCTCACTGTTGGACCTCGCTGGCCTGGAGCTTACTGTGTAGACCAGGTTGACCTTGAAATTCTAGGTCCTCCTGCCTCCAGAGCGATGATGACAAGGGTGTGCCAGCATGTTCAACTCCTGTAGATGGTTTTAGAGCAAATATCTTATTCTGTTGGGGTTTTGCCTTGGCATTGGAGACAGGCTCTCACTATGTAGCCCAGGCTGGCCTGATCTTGCTGTGTAGACCAGGATGGCTTAACCTCAGGGACCTGCCTGTCTCTGCCTCTTGAGTGCTGTGATTTAAAGCGATTGCTGTCCTTTGTCACAAATACCAAACAGAATCTTGTGTTATTTACTGGTGTTTGTGAGACTAACTTGTGGATCTCAAAACACTCAGTACCAGAGGCTGAAGAACCAATCCATGGCCAAGAGAAAGGTGTGAGCCAGCTCATTAAACTCCATCTTGACGCCATCAGGACAGTCAGATTATTTTAGACCTTACAGTGCTACCAAGGTTGTGATCAGGCCAATGGGGCTTGTCTCGTTGGGGCCACTCACGTTCTCTAAGGAGACATCTGAAATGGTAAAGAATGAGCCACAGGGGGAGGGCCCAAGTCAGAATGCCAGCTGTCACATCCCAACCTGACAAGCTGCATCGCTGAGTTCCAGTCTCCTTGTCTGGTAAATAGAGGCGATTATGAACTCATCACAGGTGAGGCTGAGGCAAGATTGCCTTGAGTATGCAGCCAGCCTGGGCTATCAAATGACACCCAATGTAAAAGAACACAAACTAAAAACATAAAAACATCATGGAGTTGTTGAGAGGATGAGCTAATACAAGCAGATTGCTAAACAATGAGTTATTGCATGCAGCTTGTGTTAACTAGCCCATGAAAATGCAAACCAGGCTTGTCTCTAAGCCCTTATTTCATTAAAATAAATTCCTTTTGTCTTGTGTTGTACTGCCTTTGAGACAAGGTCTCATATGTGTAGTCAAGGATGACCTTGAACTCCAATTCTCCTGCTCCCATCTCCAGAGGGCTAGAATTATGAATGTGTGCTATATCCAGCTATTAAAAAAACAACAACAACAACAAACTACTAGGGGCTGGAGAGATGGCTCAGAGGTTAAGAGCACTGTCTGCTCTTCCAAAGGTCCTGAGTGCAATTCCCAGCAACCACATGGTGGCTCACAACCATCTGTAATGAGGTCTGGTGCCCTCTTCAGGCCTGCAGGGATACATGCAGGCAGAGCACTGTATGCATAATAAATAAACAAATCTTTAAAAAAAAAATCTAAATGTACTAGTGCTAGATTTCTAATAATGTACACCTGGGAACAAAGGAGTCAAATCCTAAGTCACACAAGAAAGGAGAGTTTGAGTTTGGAAGGCGAATCATGGTTCCATCTAGAGAGAAGAAAACCATATCTGACTGGAGATGAACCTCACGGGGCTAGAGGCATGGCTCATCAGTTAGGAGCACATACTGCTCTTGCAGTGGACCCCAATTTGGGCCCCGGCACCTGTGTTGGGTGGCTCACAACAGCCTATAATTCTAACCCCACCGAATCCAAGGCCATCTTCTGGCCTCTGTGGGCACCTACACAGACACATAAGTAAAAGTTTATTTCCTTAATTGCAATTACAATAAAAGGCTTCTGTCAGAATTTATAGGAGAAAAATCAGTCAAATCTTGCCCTTTGTGTCCTGGTGGTCACAGCAGGGCCAGGCATTTGAAGGTCTCTTGGTGAACTGCACAGCAATTCCTGTTTTTGACAAGCCTGGCAAGGTCGCCTGCTCCTTTGCCTGTGTATGACTTAGAGAAGGGAGATATGGGTCCTAGAAACTGTGTGGCTGGGTCACAGGTTCGAGGGAAATAGCACAGGGATTTCAAGGCTTAGACCAGCAGGAAGGCTCAGTGGGGAGGTGCCTATTGTCAAAGCCTAATGACCTAAGTTCAAGCTCCAGAACCTACACAGTGGAAGGTGAGAACTGACTTATCCTCCGGCCTCTCCAAGTGAACCCCACCACCACCAATAAATAAAATAATGAATTTTCAAGGCTTCCCCAGCTGCTTGGACTAAGGAAGGATGAAAACAAGAAAAGGCAAGGAATGTAGATGACTCTACCCATTCTCTCTCAAATAATGATTAAACCCATCACAGGAGGCCTGCCGGCAGTTCCATTAGGCTCTGGTGAATGGTCAATGGCCAGTGCCCCGCCCCCCTTCAGGAGGTAACATGCAAATACATACTGTGTTGCTGAGCTGGAGAAACATAAGTTCTTGAAGTATATCACTTATGGGATTTCAGTGAAACAGTCAGCCACAGTTATAAAATTTCAGTAGAGAAGAGACAAGAAAAACAAAATAAAGCAAGACAGAACCAAAAATAGAAGCATGTGTATACTGACCTGATGATGATAGAGCAAAAAGTGTTTTTAATTTTTCGTTTACATTTATCTAGTGTGAGTGTGTGCATACACAAGCGCATGCACGCCACAATACTTGTGTGGAGACCAGAAGACAACTTAGAGGAGCTGGCCCTCTCCTTCCTCCGTGGGGTCCAGGGACTGGACTCGAACTGTCAGACTTGGGAGGTAGTGCCCTTCCCTCTGAGCCATCGTCCCCATTCAGGAAACTTTCAGACCAACGAACAAACAAGCTTTTGTTTTGTTTTGTTCTTTCAATTTTACGTGTACAGGTGTTTTGCCTTTATAAATGTCTATGCACCACAAGTGTGTAGTGTCCTGAGAGGCCAGGAGAGGTTCCTGAATCCCCTGAAGCAGGAACTAAAGGTGGCTGTGAGCTGCTGTGTGGTGTGGGTGCTGGGGTTTGAACTTGGGTCCTTGGAAGACCAACCAGTGCTCTTAACCACTGAGCCATCTCTCTAGCCCAAGAAAGAACTTTTCATGGGCATCTAATGGTGGGAGCGCTACTGACCAACAAAAGCGGCTAGAACAAAGTCCCCAGAGACCATAATCAACAGTGGGCACACTTTACAGACAGACAGGTAAGTGAAAACTAAGGAAATCACTCCCCTCTCATAGTTAAAGCCTTTTAATCTCTGCACGTGACAGTGAAATAATTCTTAGAAATTAGACAAAAGTGTTTGGTGGGTTTGAATTGATGGGCCAGGCAAGCTTCTTTTCCCTGGCTTCTCGGTCAAATGAGTCATAGATGGAGTCTTTGGTCATCGTCCTGCTCACGGGAGGGATTTCCGAAATGCCAACATAGTTTCTTTTGGCCATCCTTGAACTGGTGGTGATGGTGTAGGCATTGCTGCGGTAACATTTCATGGAGGACATGCAGAAAGTCTCTTTCATCCCTCTCCGAAAATTGGCGTTATAAATTGAGTAGAGAGTGGGTTTCGAGGCTGAAGAGCTAAAGGATACCCACGTGACCGCTGTGAAGACAAGGGAGCTCTTTTTGTAGTCTTGCTCATGGGGGTGCCAGAGCTGAGCCACATGGAAAGGCAGCCAGGAGAATAGAAAGACCACGTTCAAGAGGAGAAACATCTTGACGGTTTTCACCTTTGTCCTGGGGACAATGTTCATCGTCCTCCTCAGGGTCCGCCCATCGGTGCCTATCCTCCAGATATACTTCACGACCTTCTGATAAAATAAGATTATGAGGACAGAGGGAATCACAAAGCCCACCAAGAAGTGGATGACCGCATAGGCAGTTCCCTCCCAGGAGGGAGGGAGGAAGTAGTTACAATGGCCGTCCCAGCCAGAACCATAGAAGAAGAAGACAGGCGTCACAAAGGCTGCATCCAGGATCCAGGAGGCTGCGATCATCTTCTTGGCTTTTTCTCTGGACACCTTGAAACTCAGCGGGTAGACGATGGTGTAGAAGCGGTCTATGCAGATGGAGAGGAGCACGTAGATCTGGACGCCGGGCGTGAGATACTGGAAGTAGCGCACTACCTTGCACATGGCGCCCCCGAGGGTCCACCTTCCAGTGGTGATCTGCAGCACAACAAACGGGGTGCTGGCCACGCTGATGAGGAGGTCGGCACACGCCATGGAGACCACAAAGTAGTTGGTGGTGGACTGAGTCCTCCGGCTCCTGTGGATGACCAGGCACACCAGGGAATTGCCAAAGATAGAGAACAACCACAGAGCGCCAAAGAAAATGCTGGCTGTGGCCACCTCTCCAGGGCTCAGTCCATACTGAAGGTCTGTCCTGTTGCTCATCCAGCTGTGCTCCTCATGGAATTCCATCAGGCCATGGGGCAGCAGGGCCTCGGCTGCTTCCGCGCAGCTGTGGTTCTGAAGGGGCACCAGCAGGGTAGCAGTAACCACAGGCGGCTGGTCGTTATCCATTCTGTGAGCAAAAACCATAGTCACTCTTTTCCTCTTAGGTCTAGATAAGACAAGAAGAACAAAGCCTCCTGTTAAAACGCTGTCGTGTAAGCTGGCTGCTGACAAGACAATCCTTCTTAGAATATTCACTGTATAGTACTGGGTTTCATAAAGGCATTTCATTCAAGCGAGTCAGGGGCTTGACCACGTTCACTCTCCAAAACATCCCTTTCTCCCTCTTGCTAGTCTCTTTCTTCTCCCAATCTTGCGTCTCTGTCATGTCTCTCTCTCACACACATGTACACACCTACACACATATGTATATATTAATGATTTTATGTATCTATTAAAAATCTACCATCCAGAGATGGGTGAAAACATGTGATACTTGTCTGTCCGCGTCTGAGTTGTTCTGTTTCCTGTAAATGATATAATTGCATTCTTTATGGATGGACAGGACTCCACTGCGCTCGTGTGTGTGTGTGTGTGTGTGTGTGTGTGTGTGTGTGTGTGTGTGTGTGTGTCACATTGTCTTTATTCATCTATTGACTGGTTCCACATCTTGGCTGCAGTAAACACAGATGTGCAGGTACCTCTGTGGTAGGCCAACTTAGAGTCCTCTGTGTGTATTACCCAAGAGTGGCAGAAAGACTATCTATCCACTGTATTTGACACTGACAGAGGCCGTTTGTCAGTGATTAGAACTTGTGCACTGGTAAGAAAACCTAACTACTGAGCTGGGTGTGGAGAACTCTCTGCGTTCCAGGACAGCCAGGGTGATGTAGAGACCCTGTCTCAAAAAAGGGAAAGGGAGGAAAGAAAGGAAGGGAGGGAAGGAGGGGAGAAGGGAGGAAAGAGAGGGAGGGAGGGAGGGATCCTTAGAAAGATAAGGGAGAAAAAAATCCTGGTAAAATAGCACAGAGGAGAAATTCAGAGGGTAGCCTTCTGGGTTGATCTTTGAGGCCCCTTTTTCCTTAGAGACACAGCCTCCTTCAAGGCATACCTCCTAAGGTGTTTTTCTTTGTGTGTGTGTCTATGTGATGCTCATTTGCCTGTGTGTGGACACTGGTGTGTCTTCCTCACTCACTCTCCTCTGTGTTACACTTTAGAACAAATGTGGGTATGGGTAAGTTGTAATATCCACACATTGTTTTAAATTTCTTTAGATTTATGTGTATGAGCCGTTTTCCTACTTGCATGCATGTGCACTGTGTGCAAGCCTGGTGTCTTCAGCAATCAGAAGAAGGCGTCGGATGCCCTGGACCTGGAGTCACAGGCAGTTATAAACCACGATGCATGTGCTGGGAACCAAAGCTGGGGTATCTGCATGAGCAACAGATGCTCTTAACCACTGAGCCATCTCTTCAGGCCTCCACCGTAGTTTTTGACATAGGCCTCGGACAGGCTAGCCAGCTCCTCCTGAGGTCCTCCTGTCTCCGCTCTGCACCAGAGTAGCATGACCATTCAGCAGTGCCCAGCCCTTCAAGTGGGTTTTGGAGACCAAGTCCGGTCCTGGCGCTTGCATGGCAAGTACCCGACTGACTGAGCCATCTTCCAGCCCCCAGTGAACATGTGTGGTGGGTGCTTTGCAATCAAACTGACCTGAGACTTCCCAACGCTTACAACAAAGGCTGTATTTTCTGCACTCGTGGGCTGAAGCGTAACTGGATAGTAGGTTAGCCTGTCCAGAATGGCTGTGGTGCCCTGTTAATTCAGCACTTAATGCTGCAAGGAGTTTTCCCAGTTTGTTTTACTCTAGCTTAGCAGTACACCAGAATCTCCCAGAAACCTCTAAAACAGACTGATTTGGTCCCCTCCCCCAGCCCTGGGATTCTGATTTAATGAGTCTGGAATGTAGAAGGCATCAGGGTGTTTCAGAGTTCCCCAGGTGACCCTAATGTTCAGTCACGATGAAGAAACACAACTTCGGAAGGCTTTCCACGTTTCTGTCTTCCCCACTGAATTATGGGTTCTGGAGGAGGTATTATTCCTTTCTCCATGCCCCACAGAGTCTAACTGAAGTACTTTGCATTAATAATTGCTTGTTAAATATTAACTAAATTGGATCCATAAGGACAGAGAACTTAAATAAACTCCTCCCACCCATGGCTCTGCTAGAATTCAGTGTCAGTGAACAGAAGATCACCGTGTCCTCAGGGAGCTGAGACACTGCTGACCATAGAAATAGAGAAAAACGTGACTGCTAAAAGAGAGGGCGGTAAAACCGGTTCAAGGCAGTCTAAAGCACTAAGGCAGAGGAAGGACAGCTTAGGTCCTCAGACGGGTCTAACCCAAAGCAGGGGAAAGCCTGCTCCTTGTCATTCTGGAGTCCCAGAGTAAAAGTTCTCAAAGGCTTCTGCTCCTGTGGAAATAAATGCCTTCAGGGAATGGTTCTGAAATAAAAGGGCTGTTTAATTAGTAACTATGCCTAGAGTCTCCTATACATAGTAATTTTAGAAGTGACAGATACACTGTGAAGTTACATGTTAACTTACATATTCCTGTCTAGCTGAACAAATAATCCCAAAGGTTAGGCACTTGCTGCCTTATAGGACATTAACCAGTTCTGTGTCTAACCAGTTGACACTTTTAATGCTGACATTTTTTTAAATTCCTCTAAATCTGCATTCCTTCAAATGCTCTTAGAAGCACCCTTATCTGGACATCTCCTTCAATAGTACGTGAACAAATCTTTCTTTCACGTTCATCATGTTTGTGTAAGTTACACAGTACAGTTAACTTTTTGAAACTCATATGTAGTGGATGGAAGGATGGATGGATGGATGGATGGATGAACGGATGGATGGATAGAAGGATGGATGGGTAGAAGGAAGGATGGATGATGGATGGATGGAATGAAGGATAAGTGGATGGAAGGAAGGATGGAAAAATGGAAGAAAGGGTGGAAAGATAGATGAAGGAAGAAAGGAAGGAAGGGTGGAAAGACAGATGAAGGAAGGGTGGGTGGGTGGATGGGTGGGTAGATGGATGGATAGATGGATGGATGGAAGGATGGAAGGAAGGAAGGATGGATGGAAGAACGGATAGATGGGAGGAAGGAAAGGTGGATGGATGCATGAGTGGATGGATGGACGGACAGATGGATGGGTGAAAGACTGGAAGCTAATGAGATGAAGGGAAGAACCACAAAGAAAGGGATTCTTGGCTGTGATGACACACACTTTTAATCTCAGCACTAGGGAAGCAGAGGCAAGTGGATCTCTATGAGTGCAGGGCCAGCCAGAGCTGCACAGTGAGGCTCTGTCAAAAGAAAACAAGCAAAAACCCAGAGGGGCACCCACGATGGAGGCCGCGTCCTGTGGAGGCCGATCCCAGCTAGCTCATCAGTGGCTAGTTAGTTAGTCTCTACACCATGCAACAGCACACCTAGGAGGTTTAAAACTCCGGTAAGGGGAGCTAGGAGAACGCTCAGTGGGTAAAGTGCTTGCCACACAAATATCCAACAGGGGTCTTGGACCTCCAGAACCCACATAAAAGCTGGTGGGCACGGGAGCCTGGCTATAATGCCAGCACTCGGGAGACCGAGACGGGGTTCCCAGGACAAGGTGGCTGGCTGGACGAGCCAACTCTGCACACTCTGCTTCAGTGGGAGAGCCTGTCTCAAGAGGTAAGGCAGACCAGAGAAAGACACCATATCCACCTCTGGCCTCCGCACACACACATGCATGTGTACCACACACACACGTGCCATACACACACACAAACATCCCTAACAATTGACTTCTTTCCTCCTGAAATAGCCACAAGCTTTATTACAAATATTTATTAGCATTCTCACTGCATAAGAAACCATTCTGTTGTTGTTGTTGTTTTGTTTTGTTTTTTTCTGAGGCAGGGTTTCTCTGTGTAAGAGCTAGCCCTGGCTGTCCTGGAAGTTGCTCTATAGACCAGGCTGGCCTTGAACTCACAAAGATCCACCTGCCTCTGCCTCCCGAGAGCTGGGATTAAAGGTGTGCACCACCCAGCTACCATTCTTATATTTGAGATTTATTTAAAAATGTGATCTGGGAGTGGAAGTGCGTGCCTGTAACCCAACACGTGGGAGGCTGAAGCAGGAAGATTTCTTTGAAGACAACCTGGATGACATAGTGAGATTCTGTCTCCAGAACCAAAAACTTAAAAAAAAAAAAAAAAAAAAAAAACAATCTTAGCTTGGGATTTTCAAAATGCTAGTTTTTTACTTAATTCAGAATGTTTTCTACAGAATGGCAATACAGACTTCAGCACCTAAGGTCACTTTAGGTAGCAGTGGCAATTCTATTACAGTGGGGCCATGACAACATTAACATCACCCCCAGTCAATACTTCCTGTGGTCAAGGATGGCCTATGTGTAACCCTTGGAGCAGATGATACTACTTACTAGTCGGTTTCACAAGTGAGAGGAGCTCGAAGCTTCCCCTCGGTCACACAGTTGGGAATGGTGGCCACCTTAGGCGCTTCAATCCACCTGGATGAGCTTCATGCACGGAGACAAGGGGTTTGACCTGAATCCAGAGGGCCACACAGCTGTATTTGGGGGCCTTTCTGGACTCCTCGTCCAAAAGCAGAAGTACCAAGTTATCCCCAGAGCCTCCTGCCTACCCACAGATAACATCTCCTCAACGTGAACTCTGGAATTTGTGATTCGTCCGTCCGTCCGTCCGTCCGTCCGTCCGTCCATCCGTCCCTAGCTGGGAGCTCCTGACAGCTGATGGCTGCTAGGGAGGCAGTCAGTTGTCTTTGGGGATGTGACTGTGCTCCACTGGATGGTCCCACAGCCATGCATCTATGGGCAACACAAATTGGACTCGGTGAGTTATTAGAAACAAAACCAAAAACAGGCCAGGCATGGTGGTACACCCCTTTAATCCCGGCACTCTAAGGCAGAGTGCTTCTAGTCCGCACTTCAAACTCCGCAAATCTGGGGGTGGTCTGGTCTATTTATTGAGTCCCAGGCCAGCCAGGGCTACATAGTAAGACCCCCATCTCAACCAAAACACACAAAAACATGATTTTGAAAGGCAGGGGTGAAGGGGGAGATTGACAGGAGTTGGACAGGG